TTTGAAAGTATGACTAAAAAAAGTAGACATCTAGGTTAAATATTCATGGGCTGAAAATCAATTCTTAAAAATAGGAATATTTCTCTATCATAGGTTTGAAGAAAAACGGGTATACAATCCCACAATAGCTAAATGTGATTAGTCAGTCAAGTTAATAAATTATTTCCCTTGCCACAGTAGTGTATTAAGCTGGCTGTCTTTTATTTATAAAAATATTTAGACTTTTGGGTTATTTTGGTAAAAATAAACAATACAAATATATATAATTAATAATGCAAAATTAATAAATAATTAAAAATATCCACTTAACATCCAACAGTTTACCTGTGATCGATCTAGGGTTAAAAGGCAGTGTCACATTTAGTGGATATCCAACTTATTTTCTAGAATTTTTACCCAATTGCGATACCCAAACATTCTATTCTGATATTACAGCTTTTAACATTAAAAGCTGTAATATCAGAATAGCTGCATAAAGCTTAATTTGAAAGGTAAAATATTCTAGTGTCTGTTCGTGTGCTTGGACATCATGTGGCTACAAACCTAAATAACCCTAGATGATTCATGTGTAGTCTTGTTAATGTTAAGAGGTTACAACTACAGGCAGTGGTTCTCTTAATAAACATAGAAATTCTCTATTTTGTGTATTGATTTCTAACATGATATTAAAATGTAGCCAATAAATTCACATAGATACTATTTGTAACTGTAACAGTGTCATTTCCCCCCCTAAACTTAAGGCGTCTTTGGACCTGCAAATATTCACATTTTCTGGGAGTTCAGACGAGTCAAAAGCAAAGAGAGAAAAGAAGGGCTGACCAGAAACTGTGTTGTCCTGCTAATCTGCTATGTATGCATTTAGTCTGAGCTAAAACAATACCAGTGCAGATGCAACAGCAGCCATAGGGGGTTCATACAGGGAAAGGGCTGGTCAATCACCACATCTGCTCTGGTTCACTTGGGGTCTTCAGTTGAGCTCATCACAAACATTTTGACAATCTCACCATTCCAGTTTTAAACCATATATTTATGATTTCCTTTAATGTTAAAATTAAAGTTAGAGCCTTATATTGCCAGTACTATGTTGATGTCAAACAAAGATGTTGCTGTTACTATAGGAACCTGTTGTTTTTGACAATGAAGTAGTTAGTTAAAGTGTTTGAAAGGTGTGTAATCAACCTTTGTGACTAAATAAACTGCAGTGTAAATGTGCAAGACAGAAACAAGCTGCTGTTGTACCTTGCAAAAAGTTTTTGTGGTTCAAAGTAAATAGCTGTCATTTAAAAACTGCGCTGTGATTGTTTTCATATTTTTATTTTTAGTAAATGGTGATTGTGTTTGCTAAAAGTATAAAGCCTCCTGTAATGCCTCTGTACTCTAATCGGCTGATGCATGCGCTTTAAAACGTTTTGATCTCATTTGACCAGCAGACGTATTCACAGGGGAGGGTCGTGCTTCCATGCCATTAAGGGAATCTGAGCTGTGTCCTTGTTTTAAATCCCTCCGACGAGTGGGTGAAGCAATTAATAAGCTAGAACACAGATATTGGGTTTCAACTGTGAATGCTTTATCAGATTGGAGTTTAAGTCCCATCATGACCCATTAAATACTTTTCCTTTGAATGTTAATGTTCACAAACATGAGGAAAGGTACAGTGCCATAAAAACTGCTGGGTTGTTTTTTTGTTTTTTTGCATAGCATGACAAGAAAGTTGATTTCTAATGAATTTCTTTTTTTTGACATATGCTGTCTCTTCAATTGTTTTGTTGTACTGATTGCTATGGGGCTCATCATAGATTCAGATTGCTGAATGTAAAATTAACTTCAAGATCTCTGCTATGAGTCTGCTCCTGTCTGCTCATGAGCTCCTTTTTATTTGACTTTTTACTCTCTTTTTTGGGGGGGGTGCACATTAGAAGGGTTTTTTTGTACATCATGTAAATATCAACAATAAATGTTTTTAACTTGTTGGTTCAATGGTGTTTGTTAATGCTGTCTTGTATTTCAAAGATGTAAATCTTTGAAATACTATTATTATTTTTTAAAAGACTGCTGTTCATATAACAACTGAGCACTCTAGGATTTAATCAGGGCAAAATCCAGAGGGGTCAGTGGGTGGCACCAGCCCTCTTCTATGGAGGTTTTTATACATTACCCAACATTTCCTGTAGGATTAGTATTTAGGGCCAAAGACACCACCAAAATGATACTTAATAATATTTCAGGGAGGTCCACTATCATCAAAAGAATAATATTTCTTTCTGCACATTTACAACATGTTTATATTTAGTAGTATGACTCTGTTTGTTACACGACATTAAGCAGCAAGCAAGTATACGATTTACCACAATAGTCTCCTGAGATGAGTATTGTGGTTAAT